GCGCCCGGCAATAGGAGTGACCCCAGTAGCAGCAGCAAACTTCAGAACAGCTCTCTGGCCAGTATTTCTGGAGGATATGACACTGGCATCACCTGGATTTTCAATGGCAACAATGGCGCGAGCAGCTTCTCCCAGGTCCTCTTCAGGTTTATGATGTAGATGCCATCACTTTTCCTTTTGTAGATGTACTGTTGTTCCATTTGGAAGTCAAGGTTGGTGCCACCCAAACTCGTTCCTGCTGCAAGGAATTTGAGGACATCCTCCTTCATCTGCAGGACATCAAGGGCTCCGGACACTGTGGAAGTTTCCCCTTTAAGTTACAACGGGAATCAGAACAACGCCGTACAGCCCCTTGTGTAGGTGGCACGGAAAGGCGAGAATCTTTGTTTTCTTGATGTTGAGCTTCAATCCTCATTTAGGGCTGCAGTCCTTGACCTTCTGCAGCAAGCGCTTCAGGTCCTCCTCAGTTTCAGCAAGCAGGGTCGTGTCATCTGCATAACGCAGGTTGGTAATGACTCTTCCACCAATCCTGATGCCATTAATACCCTCCTCACACCACACCTCCAGCAGGTACTACGGCTTCAAGTCCTAAGGGGACGAAGTACGCATCTTCCTTCCACACACTGGCTAGACTTGAACCACAGACCTCAGCAGCTCCTCAGGCAATGCACTACCACAGCAGAACTTCCTAACACACATGTGGCACATGAACGGCCACGTCAGCCCTGACCCCAGCTGACTCCAGGAGGTGGCCTCAGTGCCCTCGACAGCCGCAGGCAGAGTGGCCACAAGGACAGTCTCCTGCGTGATGACAACAACCTAGGGGAGTTGACCGACCCGGCTCCTGGGCTTCACGGCACATGGTCCTCACATGCCCAGGTGCTGGATGCAGCCTAGTCAGGAGACACACTGGGGGCACCTGGCGCCAGCGGGGCCCCAGTGTGCGAGTATGCGGAGTCCACACAACCAAAGCACCAGAAGAGCCCTGGAAGGCTCTGCGTGCTCTCCCACAAAGCCACGGTGGACCCTGCAAAGACTACGGAGATGGAAGACCCTGGGAGAGGCCCGCTGAACCCTGTCAGCACCAGCACTGTGGACAGAAGTACAGTGCACACGGCCGCCATCTAGATGCCGAAGAGCCACATTCAACTTCAAGGCACAGTTAATTTTTCCTAACACGTTCCATTTAACCAACCACATCTAAAACATTCTCATTCTAAAGTCTGCAGAAGAAAGTGAGGTAGTGTTTGTTCCTCTCTCTTACCAGCCTAGCCACCACTGACAAGGCTGCGGCCTTTGTTTTGGCTTGTTGATGCTCTACAACAAATGCAAACCTCAGGGTGCAATGCTGAGAGATGCTATGGGCACACTCTTGAATGGTCTAGGAAGCATCAAGAGAAGATGAAAGGAATACACAGACTCACTGTACCAAAAACAATTAAGTGACACTGAAAAATTTCAGAAGTACCATATGAACAAGAGCCAATGGTAATGAGCGCGACAAAGTTCAAGTTGCAGTGACACTATCTAAGGGCCCAGGAATTGACGGGACACCCAGGCGACACGTTCCAAGCAGCAGCCGCGGCCCCGGATGTACTCAGCCGTCTGTGCTGGGAAATCTGGAGGAGAGCTACCTGGCAGACTGACCGGAAGAGATCCACATTTGCTCCATTCTCAAGAAAGGTGATCCAACAGAATGTGGGAATTACTGAACAATATTAATATCATATGCAAGCAAAACACTGCTGAAGATTATCTAAAATGGATAGAACAGCACATCGAACAAAGAATGCCCAAAAGTTCAAGCTGGATTTAGAAGAGGCCGTGGTACCAGAAATATAATTTCTGATGTCAGATGGATCTTGGCTGAAGATAACACACACTGGAAGAATATCCATTTGACTTTTCTTAAGTAGACAAAGGCACTTGACTACGTGGATCCTAACAAAGTATGGCGGACACCAAGGAGACCGGGAAGACCAGGGCACTTAATTTTGCTCATAAGAAACCTACATGTAAACCAGGAAGCTGTGGTGAGAACTAAGCAAGGAAACACTACATGGTTTAAAATGAAAAAAGGTATGAATGAGGGTCATACCCTTTTCTTTGTCTATTCAATCTATATGCTCAGCAAATTATCTGAAAAACTGAACTTGATGAAGAAGAATGTTGCAGCACGGTTGGAGGAAAACTCATCGACATCCCGTGTATGGGAGCTCTGGTGGCCTAGTGGCAAGAGGCTGTGCTGCAATCCTGAAGGTGTGTGGTTCGAATCCACCAGATGCTCTGCTGAAGGAGGGCCAATCTCTTCCTGTGTCAGTTGGATCTGACTGGATGGCACACAACAAATACAAAAAATAAAATAAGACCAACCTGTGTTAGACACAACCTTGCTTGCTTAAAGTGAAGAGGTCTTGAAACGCTTGCTGCAGAAGATCTAAAAATGTACCTTAATCAGGATTGCATTTCAACATCAAGAAAACAAAAATTCTCACCATTGGGCCAAGAGGCACCATCATAAGCCACATCAACAGATGGAGGAAAGACAAACGGTCAACAACTTCATCTTACTTAAGTTCACAATCAAACACCCTTGGTACCAGCAGTCAGAACAGGCGATGTAGCACATCGTGCTCCGCTGTCAGGTACCTCTCCAAATTACTGAGCAGCAATGATATTAATCTGATGACTAAGGTGTGCCTAATTGAGGCTGGTCTTTTCAATCACTTGCTATGCATCTGAGGACTAGACAATGATCAAGGATGGCAGAAGAGCTGAAGGCTCCGAGCCGTGGTGTTGGAGAAGAGTACATTCCAGGGACGTCCAAGAGAACTAACATGTATGTCATGGAGACAGTGCATCCAGAGTGCTCCCTGGAAGCAACAACAGCAAGGCTGTGTCTCCAGGCATGTGGCCAGAAGAGGCTGCTCCTTGGAGAGGGACATGATGCTGGGAAAAGTGGAGTCAGTGAAAGAGAGGAAGACCTCACCCAGGCAGACTGGCACAGCAACTGCTGCAACACACTCAAGTGTGTCAGACATTGTGAGGATGGCACAGGGTTCCACTCTGCTGTTCAGACTCAATGGCACCAAACTGGTGGTCTGGCGGCTGAGAAGCTGTGCTACCAACCTAAAGGCATGGGTTTGAATCCACCAGCTGCTCTGCAGGAGAAAGATGGGCAATCTCCTCTCATGCAGTTTACACTCTGAAAACCACTGGAGGGTCAGCTATGGTGGATGGTCCCACCCGATGGCAAGGACTTGTCTTGTTTACTGAGCCCCTTTTAAGCAATTCCATGGTTCCACGTGCCAAGTGGCCGTCGCCTGGACAGCCCCAGTCCCAAGTTAGCAGGCATGTAACAAAACAGAGCTGTGACCAGAAGAACTACTCTGAAAAGTCACAGAGATGGATGATAATAAGGGACCTTAAAAACCACAGCTACTCTGAGAGTACGTGTAACCGTTTAAAGGTGATGTAGCCACACGTGAGGAGAGGATGGAAGGTTCCAGAAGAACCAAGGGCATTGTGGAGATAATCAGCATGACACAGGAAGCAGCTTCCAGTGCTTGGGGTTAACAGGGGGCGCAGGGAGACTGTGGCCACGGCCATGACATGCTCATGCTTCTGCAGAGAGGAGCCTGGACCATGACAGAGCAGAACATGGGCCAGCCATGCAGAAGCCTGTAGTGAAGCCAAGTGCAGCAAGGGGCCGGAAGTCCCCACACCTGATGAAAACCACCACCTGGGCTCAGCAGATGGTGGGCAGGAGGAGCACAAAGACCCCCACCCCAAGGCCCCGGCAGCTGGAACTCCCAACAAGCAGTGAGGAGGCAAGCGGCAGGAAAGAGGCCCTGCAGTGTCGGGAGACTGGGTGGCCTCCCTGCAGTGTCGGGAGACCGGGTGGCCTCCCTGGGCATCGGGAGACCGGCCTGGCCACCCTGCAGTGTCAGGAGACTGGGTGGCCTCCCTGGGCATCGGGAGACCAGCCTGGCCACCCTGCAG